CTCCCGCCGAGGGTTCGGATCCCACATACAGACCGGTTCCCGCTCACTGGCTGAGCGAGGCGCGGGAGCAACACCAAGGGTTGCGATCCCGTTGCCGGTCCCGGTCCGGTACGGGGGTGACACTGAGGGTTGCGATCCGTTGCCGGACACGGAAAAAGACAAAAAAACAAAAAAACAAAAAACCAAAAAAAAACCAAATCAACTAACCAATTTGGCCTACATAGAACTGTTCTGTAAAATAGAAGGGTCACAAAAATAAATAACACTTAGTTTCTGTCCTTAATGAATTTCTACCTTGTTTAATTAGTACAAAACATTATATTTGAGCTTAGAAAATACATTTTATTAATCACATTTTACAATACATTTGTTAATTTAACAACCATAACATGTAAAAATCCACGCTTCATTAAAGCTTCTACAATGATAATACTTGCTGCTTAAATGATGCTTTGACATTTATTAAGCAATTGTATATTTGATATATCATCTAACCCCAAAACTCTGTCATGTTGTCAGGGTGATGACATTTTCCTTAGTTTGCAATTGAGGACAATGAGCACCTAAGAGGTTGCTCAATCTTAGCACTTGCTCAATGACACACAGCTGGTAAGTGGTGAAGGTGAGATTCTAGGGGAGGATTTCTAACTTCAGGTTCAGTCTTCTTTTCAATATGGTGTGTTATTTCTTAAACATATGACTTTGATTAATTGTGATTTCAGAATTTCAATGCTGGTATCTTTTTTATGTGTGAGAATATAAGGAAACCAGGTGCTTTCTAGCAGGGAAATTGAGTAATTTTCCTAGTAATTACATTTTATTTTATTTTATTTTTATTTATTTATTTATTTATTTATTTTGTACATTTTAGAGAAAAAAATTTCGTTCTTCAGAATCAGTCTTAAAATGCATTTTATTTGTTTTTCCCCTAAATAAATTTCCAAGGGCTGGCTTACCAGTAAAAAGGATCAATTTAAGTTTTGAATGTCAGTATTTTGGAATATATCACTAAGGCATTAGAGGTCTCATAAGTCACTCTGTTTAATGAATTGACCTTTGGGTGTCACCCTTTCCAGAAAGAGATCATTTCCCCACCATCAGACTGTAGCAACCTTTTTGATTTTATAGAAAAGCAACATAGGAAGGTTGAGCAAACAATTTGTTGTAAAATCGGATTATCCAGGAGGAAAGAAATGAAAATAGATTGGGAAGATCTTTCATGTTATGGTACTACAGATGCTGACTAAAAATAGCATGCACCTTTCACCCTTCCATATCTAATTCTAAAGCATTTTTTAAAAAGCCAAGAACTAAAAAAATGTTTAGGCAAGATGTTGGTTTGCAGGACAATAGTTGAAGAAATTATAGTCACATTTACTTACTAAATCAAAGTTTTGGCTTTGTTTATAAAAGCTTAGATACAGTGAATAATGGAAATTTTAAAACCTTATTCCTGCTATTTTTCTCTAAGGTGAATAAAACACTTTGGATTCAGAATACCAGAACCCAAGACTAGGTGAACACATACTTTATTTCCTTTAAATACTACTTACACCACACAAAGTAAACACTAGTTTGCTCTGGTACTTTGTTTTTTTGTTGTTGTGTTTTTTTTTTTTTTTTTAAAGTCCACAATGTCTTCCAAGTTGTTCACAAGACCAAACTGAGATGTTTTTAGAAAAAAGTTAACTCTAGGGCCGGCCCGGTGGTGCACTGCGCTAGTGCGCCGCTTGGGAAGCGCGGAGGCGCTCCCGCC